TATTTAATAATTTAATTATATAATTTAATATATTTTAAACAGTATAATACTTTATTTTTATTACCACTGAGGAGGAAATTTCAATTTTTGTGTAGCATTAAGATTTTCTTATACAGCAAAGTGGCCGGGCAATTGGTCTCACCGCGTTATTGCACTTGCCAATAATTCAACAACTATCATCCACATAATTACCTTGTCTTATCGCTTTTGCTTTTTTAGTTCTTTTCTTCCAAAAAAAAAAATTGCATTTTGCTTTTGGGATCCAAAATGCTAGTATTAGTCAAATTTGGGGATCCCACCTCTAAATTAAAGATTAACGTAATTTGATTGATCTGCACTACCCTAAGTTTGTATAATTTCCGCGTGGCTTTACCGTTTTCCGTGTGGCACTACCCTAACGCCTTGTTTGGATAGAAAATAGTAAAGGAAAGGGAAGGGAGGGGAATGGAGAAAAATAAAAGGAAATGGAGGGGGAGGAAAAGAAAGGAAAAGGAAGAAAATAGAAGGAAATGATTTGTGTTAATTTTGTTTGGATAAATAAAAATGAGGAAGGGGAAGGGAAAGAAAGAATTGTATTATTTTATGTTTGGATAATTAAAGTAAAGGGAAGAGAAGGAAAGGAAGGATTTAAATTAATTTTAAATTTACAAATTTACCCTTTACGCTTGTAATGAAGAAAGATATAAAAAAATTAAGGTTAATTTTGTAATTACATTTAACCTAATGTAAATAGTCACTCAAATCTCTCCCAAACCCCCCAAATTGGGCGGATTGCAAATCTGCAGATTTGAGGGGGGTTGAAGGGAGTCCGAATCAGTTCATCTCCCTCCCCTCTGTCTTTTTGAAAACCCAAACAGGAGGAAGGAGACAGCCCCCCCTCACTCCCCCTCCCTTGCCATCCGTCTCCATCCCTTCCCCTCCCTCTCCGTCCGACACCTCCAATCCAAACAATACCTAAGTTTGTATCAGCAACAGCCGGGCCCGCAGTTGGCCTCACTACGTTATTGCCCGCGCCAATAATTCAACCCCTACTAAGATGAGCATTTTCAGGTATCGTTGTGGATGTGAAATATATTTGATATTTAATTTAAAAATTTTTAGATATAATTTTTTAAATTTA